AATTGCCAAAACTTATTTATTGCTGGATATTTTTTCTACTTCTTCTTGCAAATACGTATACTAGATAGTGTTTCTGAGTGTGAGAAAATTTATTTCACTTTAAATATTATAGTCGTGTCATCAACAGTCACCAGTATCTATAGTGAATACCGGTTTAGTTGGGGTGAGGCTACTGTATTTGTAATCTAGTTGCAGCATCTTGTCATGTCTCAGTTAACTGGCTATGCATTTACCTTGGTCTTCTACTACAGTTTATTTTATTAAAATGTGTACTTTGACCTTTCTTGCATTCTTAGCATTTATTTTAAAATTATTAGAATATAATATCTCTTTTTTTAATATTAAGCTGTGCTGACCATAAAAAAGTGACAGCTTAGCTACTTTAAATTATTGTATACATTAAATTATTCTTAGTTCATTTTTACTAATTATGATTGATGTTCTCTAATGTTCGTTACGGTAAATTTTCACCGATTGGCGATATTATGTAACAACTGTACATATATAGATAATTGTGTTACATATAACAAATTGCATAGAAAGTTTCCCGAAAATGAACCATATACTTAACCCAAAATAGTTTTTTTAAGTTTCGACATCTTAGATTTGAAATACTAATAGTGTTTAATCGAATTCAATAATAATACAAAACTATAAACCATTTCTATATCTATCCCTATCAAATTGTTAATTGGCCATAATTACTTCAAAATCTGCATATTCTTGTCTAACTCTTAAAATGCTCTATCATTTGTATAGTGCATCATATTTTGTGTCTAGACGAGAGTGACGCAATCAAAATATATAAACATTTATTATTACTATTTTGGGTAGTCAAATCGCAGCTGATGAATCAGCAACAGAACCAGTTGCAATGCTGCAGGCATTAGAATGCGTACTATGCATTAGTTTTTGCTGTCAAGGCCAGCATGTCGATGACCAGGGCGGGGCTTCTAAATCAACATCTCCTTAAGTGGCACTTGTGAATTAATCACTGTGCACACTAAGATGCACTTTCAATCTTGTTACACCTGCTTCGGTAGTACGAGTATTCATTCATGAATCACTTCTAATCGTATTTGTCTTTTTTGACCTTGTTTTTGACAAGTTTATTACTTCCTACACTATCAGTTTCATTACGATTTTGTAATATTTGATTATCTATCTTTATTTTAACACCTTCTAATGAGGATTGTGTCAAGTTGTATGTTTCTATTTTTTCTCTAGCTGCGATGATGATAATGATGATGAAAAAATATTACAGTATAATATTTTTTCATCATCATTATCATCATCGCAGCTCGGAAGACGTCCACTGCTGGACATAGGCCTCCCCCAAAGATCTGTACGACAATCTGTCCTGCGCTGCTCGCATCCAATGCCTCCCTCGATCTTGACCAGATCGTCGGTCTACCTTGTCCACCATATTTTTTCATATTTAATAAGAACTATCTGTTTGTATTTAGGATATGTTCCACACGCTAGATCGTAATTTTGATACTTCGTGACTTGACGTGGTATCAATACTGTGGGAGTTTTTCGCTTACCTATAGCAAATAACTAAATTTATTTGAAGTCTAGCTTAAGTAATACTTATAATATTAATAACATGCTACAGAAAATTGTTTTGATCTATACTTTACACACCATTTCTGAATCAAGATTAATGTTTACTGTTTAGTTCATTTTGAGGTTTTACGTACAAGCAGATGTACTTACGGTGCTAGTTCCTCTTTCAGATTTCATGCCTTTTTTTGCATCAGTAATTTGTCGAATGCCAGCATTATTTTATCGATACTTTAATGAAGTTTAATGCTTCATAACGGTCTGTGTATACCATATCTCGTAGTGGAAATGTAAAACGTTGTTTTTATCAATAATATTTATTGTGTGTGCGCTCAAATTTAAACAATCTTGTTTGTATTTCTTATGTTTTCGCTGGACGTAGGCGTCACAACCCAATTCTGTTGCCTCTTGGTTAACATTGCAGTAAAAAGTGTCCAAATGGCAAGGCAATCTTTTGTTATTTTTACCCTTAAATTTAATAATGTTCAGTTGTACGATATGTAACTACCAATATTTCTCACCCACGCTACCAAATTCTATGTAGCACAATAAAAGGATTATTATATTATCAGTTCGAAAATTCATATATGGTAATGGCTACCCACGTAATGTCTCGCCAAATTCGCGTCGGTCCACGAAGGTGTTATTCATCTAGATTACTTAGGAGACGCAATAAATGCGGGTTCATGGACTCAAAATTGCCACGGGCTCACCAGAATTGTGCAGTTTTTGCAGTAAATTTACTTAGAACATAACGTGATGTTGGTTAGTGCGAAAATTCACATTAATTTTGTCGGCGTAGTGTTATTTTAGACGGCAATAAACAAAATAAATGCACGTTTTATGTCTGTATAAATAATTGTTTATGTCCAAGTTTTCGTGTGAATTGCAACTCATGAATTGTACACATAACAAAGATGTTACAGCCAGCACACGGCTATATTTTGGCTACAACGCGTTGTTAATTGAAACACAAAAAATGGTTGACACCGGTTAAAAAGAAATTTATTTTGGATTACAAATACATCGATGAATCGTAAATACATTGCACATGTTTCTGTAGGCTTCTTTAAACATTTTAAGGAATATCTTGAGATATTTGTCATTTGAGTTTTTAAATCATAAATAATCAATTATCTAATTTATTATAATGTTATCTTCCAACCCGTGTCGTTTACTTTGTATCTTGTCCAATCATCTAGGCAGATGATTGGACAAGATACAAAGTAAACTATGTTATTCTCCAACCCATTACGTGACAACAATTTTAGTAGTTTTAGCCCCGCATACGTTACGGATCACTATTATATGCTTTCATGATTAGCTAGCTTAGCCACATTTTGTAGCTAATCTAATAATCCTAGTATACTTTATAATCGCAGCAAAGCATTGTCGGCTACTTGAATATGACTATTATATTTGATGTTACATTTTTTCTCGAAACAGCCTCGTCATTCTATGCTGTATAATGGTCTAATTTCGCGGTAACACTTTATAATGTATCTATATTTTAATTTCTGTTGTCAATATATCTAATCAGAATGCGCTGTATAGAATTTGTTGTGATGATTAATTGAAAGCCTTTTTTTAAAAATAGTCGCTGACAAAACGAGTCGCTATCAAGTGTACGCGTACAGTGTTTAGGTATATTTTTTCAGTCGTTTTTTCCATTTGCACAAACAACAGCACAAAAGGCAGCGGGTAGTCGAACCTTTCAAGGACTGTGTTGTTCCGCTTCAGGGAATTCAAGTGATTTTCATAGCTACCTGAAAAAAATTACGATTGTTTAAATGAAATACAACAATAGAGAAGAGTTAACGCAACACATTTTGTAACAATTATAAAGTTACGAATTAAAGATGCTAGTTTCTTGTCTTACGACTCTTTGTATGTCTAGGAAGCATAGCGTTGCATTTTAATTGATCATGTAAAAAAATTAGAATATATAGCGAGGATTTCAAAAGAAAACATTTCTGTTTCCGTCAAATGTACTGTCGTTGCCGTAAACATTACTGCAACGAATAATATATTTTTTGTCTCTTTAGCGAGATATTATGTCTCAGAACTATGTATTTACCTTTGTTTCAAAAGAATATAGAATTGTTTTTTTTTTTTCAATAAATATATGATTCTACTAAAATTAAGGAATTGTGCATTTCAACGTATCTTCGGGCGCATATTTAGAATATATTAAATTATATTTCACAAGTTTTAAAGTTTCTTACGTTAAAGCAGATATTAAAAGTTGATTGCTAAACGCCTATTAGATTAAAAGTAGCAAATACTACTTGGTACTGATATCTATAAAGTTATCATATATTTTCTGTTTACCTAGTTTATTAATGATATCGTTAATCGATTTCTAAAAGTTAACTCTTCTTATGAGTATCAAAGCATCACATGATTTTCTAGAAAATTATTTTTATTTCTATACTGAATTAACCAATAAGTAATTTGGCATTTATTTACTTAAAATGTGTTTCAAAAGTTATCATCTGTTATTTAATCTTACATGCCTACTGAAAACGATTACATTACGAGAAAATTTCACTGTAATTTTAAACACCTAAGTCATATTTAACTGTTGTAACATATAAATGACTTAACATGCGATAGTTAAAAATATTAGATACACTTTGTCATCGTTTTTTTTTTGCTTCATCTCAATTTTCTTTATTAATTATTATAATACTCCTCACTTGTATTTATTGCCATTGGTGAGTATAATGGCCGTATCATCATTTATATCTTTAACACCGTCCATATTTTCTTTAGTGCCTTGAGTAATATGTTCATTTCTCTTAACGCTCTTTATATTTTTGTATTCGCTTTGTTTGAAAATCCGTTATTCGTCTGTTGAATTGACTCTTTTTTATATATGTTGTAAGATTATATATGTTGTAAGAAGTGATAACTATTGTTGCGGTCGTGAACGTAATGTATGTAATGACTCTTTTTTGTTACTGCTGTAATGATATTGTTTGACTGTAGTTAATATCTTAGATTTGCGACTGTGTACTAAGTATTAGTTCTACGCATTCTCTATATTGTAATTAATACTTTATTATTACTATAGTTGAATTAATTCTATAGTTAAAATTATACTTAAATATCTTAAATATTTTTTTAAATTTTTCAATGGATAATGGCTTTTGTTTGTTGATAAACCATAAATCGAATCTTACCTCTTTCTTTACTCATAACATTAGTTTATAAATGATATTTTTTTTACATCTTTTTACATCATCAACTGTATTTAGGAATTATTTTTTTTATTTATGTTATAGTATTATCACTAAGAAAAGCGGTGTAAATAGAAGATTTCTTATTAAATATAGACATATATAAATTTGGCGTGAAGATACATGTATACTAATTAAACCATTTACATTTATCTCAAGATAATACTAAAATATCTAATATTTTCATTTCAGGAGAATATAGACCCGTCGCCTTACAGTCTATCGCCGGTGTCGGCGAAATCGCAGAAGCTGTTACGGTCACCACGTAAGGCCACGAGGAAAATATCGAGGATCCCCTTCAAGGTTCTGGACGCGCCGGAGTTGCAGGACGACTTCTACCTGAACCTGGTCGACTGGTCGGCACAGAACGTGCTCAGTGTCGGTCTCGGCAGTTGTGTCTACTTGTGGAGTGCATGTACTAGTCAAGTATGTATATGTTTATTTATGACAATTTATTACACCAACGTTCAAAGAAAAAACAAATTATAGATTGCAAATAAATACAAGTAAAGTCTTTTGTACTATTGTTCTTATCACTAATGCAATCTCTTCCAGACAACCTTTTAGGAAGAGAGTATTTGCACTCAAAATAAAATACCGTACTATTCTTCTTACTACTATATACTTCTACTGTCTCTGTGTCTTCCTCCTCTCTGATCGATCCCCGTCAAAACGGGGATCGAAATTACGACGATCCGAGCCGAGATTGTAACCCATAGCAGAGCGCTCCCTCTAAAGTATCCGTTAGGTAGGATTTGGCCTTCAGCCGCTCCATAAGTCCTGCTGCATTTGGAGTGTCATCTGCACTCCAAATGAAGCAGGACTATGGAGTATCGTTAGTCCCGTATCGTCCGGTGAAGCTGTAAAGGTTAGCTGCGGCCAACAGCATTAGAATAGTCCGAAAAAGAAAACTAATTTTAGACTGATTTAATCTTATTATAAATTGTAAAGGATTTTTTTTGGTATAATTAAATCTGACGGTTCTTTCAATGTTTCTTACAGGTAACACGTCTGTGCGACTTGTCATCGGAGGGGAACACTGTGACATCAGTGGCGTGGAGCGAGCGCGGTCATCAGGTGGCCGTCGGCACGCAGAAGGGACATATTAGTGTTTGGGATGTTACCGTCAACAAAGAGGTAACTAATTTTAATATATTTGTGGGCGATAGAATGAATGGACTGTATGTGTGAGATTAATGAAATAAAGGATAATGGATAATGTAACAGTGCAAAAATGACAATTCCTAAAAACTGTAAAAAAAGACATTCAAAATCGATACTTACTGTATCGATTTTGAATAGTTATATATAAAATTCTCGTGTCACAATGTTAGAGTTACCATACTCCTTCGAAACGACTTGACCGATTTTTATGATATTTTATATACATATTTAGTAGGCCTGAGAATCGACTACAATCTGTTTTTTTATACCTCAGGTGATAAATGTTGTCCACCTCTTTAAATTTTTTTGTCATTTTTTAATTTTATTATAAAGTCACATTAATAAACACATATCACCCTAAATTTTCACCTGTTTATCACCAACCCATATTTTTTAATAGCGATATGTTATAGTAGACAATGTTACAATTACATGTAACATTTTTTTTTACTTTTTGTTACAGGTTACAAAATTACAAGGACATATAGCACGTGTGGGTGCTCTGGCTTGGAACGGCGACGTACTAAGTTCCGGTTCAAGGGATAGGCATATACGACAGAGGGATACGAGGTGTCCACGTATGTATATGTTTTTTATTATTTAACTGAAATGGCTGTCAATGATTTTTTTTTATGGATGATAATAAAATGCTGCACCCGCCTGGGTTAACGGTTTACGTTGGCGGGGCACAAGTGGACGGTGATAAGATGAACATGAGGTCAGGTCAGTTAGCCCATCGTGATAAATTTAACAAGAATTTATCACGATGGTTTCCAGGGGGAACCGCGTGGAGGTCAACCTGACATGGTACATTGCTAGTAATGGGGCCATGAGTCCACATTACTAACAATCCCTTTCCCCCCTCCAACAATGTATTGGCCCACCTGATTGTGAGTGGTAACATGATCAGCAACAGGTATGTCACAAAATACAGAGTGATTTATGTGTTGCTATTGGTATTAGGACCTGTTGGTCATTTCAGTCAGACCAGTTTTTCTTTTTCAGTCCAATGGCTAATTTTGTATACAGTTTGGAATACTTTCAGACGTTTGTATTTTATTTATTATTTATTTAATGTGTAATATAATGTTAAAGAATGCTAGAAATGTTTATATATTACAAATTTGTATATATAAAATTGTTTTTTATTTCTCCATTAAACTTGGCGCGATTTAAAACGAGAGTGTGCTATGTAGAAATAGCAGTAGAACTCGGATTTTAGTTAAAAGTTTTGTATAGGAAAACATAATTGTAAAACTGTCAAAGAATATTGTCAATACTTACGATTCAAAGTATTATAAAATAGCAAAGGAGAATTTCCCTGCAAGTATTCCAGTCAATCTGTTTCCAAGTAAAGATGAGAGTATGTCGGCAATGATCACCTATATAAATATGATTTCTATTACAGCTCAACAGTCAGGTCGTGTACTACAGGGGCATAGACAAGAGGTCTGCGGCCTCAAGTGGTCACCAGACGGCCAGTCGCTGGCGTCCGGTGGCAACGACAACAAACTATTCGTTTGGTCTATGGTAAGTTGTATTATACATTTTTATTCTCAATATTATAGAACGTGATGCCGAAAGCAATAATATGTTTGTATATAAATGACGTATTTTTAATAATAATTAAATTTTCATCAGAGATTCAACTGTTATACAGGCGTTGCTACCGACAGTGTCCGACACTGTACGTTGTCTAACAGTGAATTTTATATATAGAATTCTTGTGTCACAATGTCTCATCAACATAATCATACACCTCTGAGACGGCTTGGCCGATTTTTATGAAATTTAACTCTTTTAGTATGTAATAATAATAATAATCTCAGGACAATTCACACAGCGCCATCTAGTCCCATATTAAGCTATCTAAAGCTTGTGTTACGGGTACTAGACCGTACCGTGTCTCAATTAGGCCCTGTCCCTATCCGATATTGTCCGAAACTTTTATTTTGGATTCGGTTACGGTTACGGTTACGGAGCTGCTTAACATCCCTGATATATTATCTGGTACCCATAACACAAGCTCTGCTTACCTTGGAAACTAGATGGCGCTGTGTGTTTTTTTATAGGTTTGATATTTAGGGACTTTTGCAAACTAAAAGCACTTGCCAGTCCCATTGTAACCTAAAACTAATAGCTACATCACTTCACCAGTTAGAAAATTGCCTCAGCCGCACTATCCGAAGAATCGGCTAGAACACTTTGCATGTCACCAACATCCAATAATAATAATAATAATCTCAGGACAATTCACACAGCGCCATCTAGACACAAGTTAAGCTAGCTAAAGCTTGTGTTATGGGTACTAGACAACTGATACAAATACATAGATATATATTTTTTTCGTAAATACATACATATTATACATAGAGAATACCCAGACCGATACAAACAATCATACTCATTAATACAAATGTTTGTGCCGTGCGAGGAATCGAACCCGCGACCATTAGTCGTTAAGCGGTGTGCTAGACCTCTAGACTACCGAGGTCGAAAATTTACAGTGTGAATTGTTAAGGCATATTATTATTATTACAAGACGCTTGGCCACTGAAATGGGTGAGACTGAGGTCTGAGGACAGCCATAGGCACTCATAGGCACTCATAGGCCACCTTACTATGTATACACATATGATACTAATCGTTCTATCTCTTTCCCCCGCAGCACTCGACGACACCCGTACAGACGTACTCCGCGCACGTAGCGGCGGTGAAGGCGATCGCGTGGTCGCCGCACCAGCACGGGCTGCTCGCTTCCGGCGGCGGAACAGCTGATCGCTGCATCAGATTCTGGAACACCCTCACCTCGCAGCCCATGCAGTACGTCGATACAGGTATGTTGCACATAATCGTACATAACCTAGCTCTGTGTTTAACAAACATTAGCAGATTTTGTCAGAACCTGTGTGGTTATAGCCCTTACGTAAACGATATTTTCTTTAGAAAGTACTCTATTCTAAGAATTTTCTTTATTTGAAAAATAAATTTAAATTTATGCACTTTCAAATCGTCATAGTTATTTTTTAGTCTACCGCTCATTCGTAAAGCTGTCTAATCACAAGAAGAATGAGCAAGAGACTTATACTTACTTACTAATTAAGCCGATATAATATGCTATATGTTAAGTATGTGACCCCTATAATTAGCTTTTCTATTACCACATACATAATGTAAATCAGATTGTAACGCCGTTGGTTTATATTAAATAAAAAAAAAATGAAATTAATGGTTAAAAATGTTTTTCGTTTCAGGATCGCAAGTGTGCAATTTAGCGTGGTCGAAACATTCGAGTGAACTCGTCTCCACACACGGCTATTCGCAAAATCAAATACTGGTGTGGAAATATCCATCGTTAACACAGGTCTGTACGGATCGTGATAGCTTGATAACAGACTATAGTTTGTTTCTAATATAATGCCTCCAATATTACTCATATATAATGTAGAATATGTAGTGTAGTTTCATACGACTATCTAGTCTGTGTTTCCTAACCTTTTTTGAGCTATGTCCCACCTTAGCCCTTCTAAAATTCTTAAGCTCCCATAATAAAATACAGAATAAGTGGTTTCTTAGTTCTTCTTTATATTTCTGACTCTTTTTGATGGAATGAAAGAATTAATCCGTGTGGCTGCAGTAGGCTCTCACCCTCATGGTAGATTTAAATATAGCCATCGAAAAGTGGTATGACATGTGTTGCGCTCACAACTTTGACAATGTTTCTGTCAATTCCATCTCAGATTATGGTTGTAATGGTATTTTGTTATAAATATACATTTATTAATATTTTTTTGGAATGGTGGTTTTGAATTGGAATGATGCTCCCTGCGCTAACGGTTTACGCTGGTGGGGCACCAGTGAAGGATGATAAGATGAGCATAAGATCAGGTCAGTTAGTCCATCGTGACAAATTCACCAAGAATTTATCACGTTGGTTTCCTGGGGAAACCGCGTGGAAGTCAACCTAACATGGTACACTGCTAGCAATAAGATCATTAGTCCACATTTCTCACAATTCATTTTCCCCTCATTATTATAGTATTAATAATTAAGTATTTTTCCAGGTGGCGAAATTAACGGGACATTCATATAGAGTACTCTACCTGGCCCTCTCTCCAGATGGGGAAGCCATTGTAACGGGCGCTGGCGATGAAACGCTGCGTTTCTGGAACGTATTCTCCAAAACACCATCGCATAAAGAGAACAAGAGCGTTCTCAACTTATACACGGCACTTAGATAAAGCAGTATTATTAATAAATATCAACTCTCCCTCTCTTATGGAAACTAAATTCTATAAACCTATTTGTCTGTTTCTTACAAATGCAAAAAGTAGCTTGAAAGAAAGGGACAGAATAGTTGAATTAGGAAAATAGGATTAAAAGATGTTTGAATGGGAGGACGGTCTCTGTGTATTATATTTGCATTTCTAGTGATTACATAGTTGTATGATAGTATAGTATGAATTGTACTTTATAAATTAATAGATAATAACGTGGACTAAGTCTGTATAACCATTAATTATGTTTTGTAGCAAATTATTTGTGACTGATTTTTGTTATTGATTTTGAATTGAACGAGAGTCGAAATTTTATTGTATTTATTTTATTATTAATTCACAATGTTGATTGTGTGATATATAAAGATTTTTCTTTGTTACGCGACAACTGTGAAGGAATGAACTTGTTTAAAAAAAAAGCATATTCCGAAAATGTAAAAATAATTCATTAATAATTTGATTAACTAAAAAGAATTAAAGCTAACATACTTATAAAAATGAATATTAAATAGTATAAAACGCCACGTATAATTTAGGAGTATGTGTGAGAACGAAAACATCATATATGTCACTAAATATATCATCAGCATATTTATTAACAATATTACAACGTCAACGATATTGCATATCCTGTGGTGTCCACAGATTAATAAATAGAACATTTTTGCAGTGGACATGTTCATTTTCTTTACAGTTGTCTAACACAGCTTATTGGAAGCCTCATATTATCTACATTGGTAAATTATATTTTTGTAAACATGTACATAAGTTTGTGTATACATCTATATTTTGTAAATGTTGACATATTATTAATTGGGATGCATTTTAGTTTGATAAACAAGTTTACCTATTTTGAAATTAACAAATTCGATAAATGATTCATTTGGTAATATTTATGCTAATGTATTTTTCTTCTGTTTCAGCATACTGTTATGTGTAAACTATAGCATTTGAGAGAAATATATATGTTTATAATGCTGTGTAATTGTCTTAAATGTTTTTATTTTAACACGTTTGGCGGGAATACTACATTGAGTAGTTATTACATTATGAGTCTAACTCTCAGGCGCTAATGGAAATTAATATAGTTTTGGCTGTAAGTATTCATAGTACCATAATTTCCTTGCTTTCGATTCAATGTTCAGTATTTCATAATTTATATATATAATTGTGATTACTTTATAATAAATATGTCTGAGAAAAAAATTTAAATAATTAATGTATAAAATATGTCAAATTCAACAGCCTCAATTAGGGTCATTAAATCATGTTTATTTTATTACATACCTTAATACTGTTCTATTTATTTATAAAACATAATCTGCATGTTTTATAATCAATACATAAAATATTAAAAATATTTGGACAATATTTGGTATACCATAGTTATTTTTGTCATATCGAACTTGTACAAAAGTTCTAAAAGTTGTGTCTAAAAGATTACAATTGAAAGCAAGGAAGTTGTGTACTCTCAAATTAGATATGTTTGTATGAATTATTTGTGCATAGTGATTGATAGTAATAGATTGATAAATTATGTGTATTGCCCTCGTAAGCATTGTAGATCTCTAATTTGCAATGTAATAAGTGTAAATTTATGTCATAAAAAAACATCTCTTGGAAACTTGCAAGTGCTTTTTTGCACGCTTAATAAATTAAATAAAAAATGGAAATAGATTTTAATGCTCAATATTTAAAGTCGATTTTACAATAACTTTTATTTAATTAAATTTATTAAGTGTGTTATTTGTACACTTGCTGATATTCAATTTCTGTTCTATTTTAAACGTTGTATGTTTATCAGGTATGGCAATGAAATTAGTTGTTATTGGTTTTGAAATATCTTCAATTCGTTAATGAGTATTAAATTCTCAAAAGGCCTTAACTTATTTGGTAATATTAAATATGTAGGACAATAAAATATGGAAGCAGATTAATAATTAATTAATTAATTATATTACGAGTAAAAATAATACTAAAACTAAAAAACACCCTTTCTCTCACCCTTAACACATCCGGTATAAGATATCCAGACAGCAGATCGGCAAAACAGTCTCCAGAATTGCATATATCTCTACATATACAAAAATACGTCTTGCTCGATTTAGCGGTTTAGTTCTGAATACATGACAAACACAGAAATAGAAATAGATTTGTTCGGTGGTAACAAATAACTTAGAAAATACTGCATCTGTGGTAATATTTCCACTGTTTTAATATTTTTTTCCTTCTTAGTTGAGACGAACGGGACTTTAGTTTTTCAAAGTATAGTAAAAAATATACACTTTTAAAATGAACAGATCAGATGTTTTTTTTTTAAATACGAGGCACACGCGTAGTGTTTACGCGTTTATATATTTATATACGTGTTATTGTGTAATGTATATTTTTGAATTGTGCAATTTAGTTTTTTTAAGCGTTTTTATACATTTTATTTGCTGAACGTGATCGAATCAACAGTCGGACAGCAAACAAAATGGTGTGGTAGTGGCTCATACAAAATGAGCACTATTAAACGAAACCAAATACTAATAAGTTTATTTATTCGGTATAAAATAATGTTGGTGTTCAAAACGCTATAATGTGTTTTTATACACGTTGTGGGAATTTCTCATTTACTACATTTACAATTATTAAGAAAAAAATTGTTAGTATATATAATAATAATAACTTTCTTTCTTTTAGTAATGTGTGAATATTAATACTATTCTGTCATATCAAATAATATTTTCGCTCATCCATAAATAACTAATATTTTTTTTCTTTATTTTGGCTTTGTTAATACAGCAAACGGTTTTTAATCCAATCTGTGGAAGAATACAGAGTGTTTTTAGTATTTTTTAATTATCCTCGTGTGTAGTTTATAAGAAATCCTACAACGTGTCAAAAATGGTTTGGCATTCTAAATTATTAATAAAAAAAATATATTTTCTTAATTAAAGAAAGTGTAAGACTAGTGACTCAGTGTAGTCAGTTTGTAAAGGGTTATTCGCTGTTCAAGTTCCTTTATTGTAATCTACTAAAACCTTAGTACTTCCTACTTTATTCTGCCCCTAATTTAGCATATATCTGTTATTTAACTAAACCAGCGACTGACTCCTACTTCTAGAGTAAATTTATCGAGAAATATTTATTGAAACGTAGGAAAGAGATATAATATATTTTATGCACATTTGTTTATATAGTGTAACGTGCTTTTCTATAATTGTACTTCTAAATAACCACCGACTCGAAAGCAACCCACAGAACAACAGAATTTTACGTATCTGTAATTCGTAGATAGAGAAAATGATCCACAGTTCCAATTCTCTGTCTACGGTAATTATACTTTTTTTTATATGCAACTCCTTGACAGTTACACATAATGATTTGTGACCAAGTTATGTGACTTGGTTGGATGCCTTTAAAATATATGTTTGGCCATTATGTTTTTTTGTCGATGGGTTATAAATATAAATTATTAATAATCAATAAGCAGCACCTGAGCGGATAAATACATTATGTATTATTTACATATCGTCTCTATATGTTTTGAATAAATTTTTAATTATAAAACCTAAACAGAGCTTTGTCGTCGAAATGATAATTAACCGATATTGTAAAATATAATTATGTAGTACTTAATTTGCCAAAAGTGTTTTCATGTTTTTTTTAAGATTGCGTGGGTTGATGTTTGTGTTGGTATTGATATAAAATTATATTCTATGTGTGATGTGTATATTTGGTTTTATTTCCAAATTTAAGTAAATATAAAATAAATCCAAACTTATATTATTGGAGTTCCCTTTCTCAAAAAATAAAAATACAACTCATAACAAATCACACAGCGTCATCTAGTTCCAAGCTGTGTTATGGGTACTAGACGACTAATAAATACAAGAACAGCAAATGTTAGATACATATGTTTTTTTTTTAAATACGTACAAATTATCCCAGGCCGATTCAAGCAATCATACTGATGCGAGGATTTGAACCCCCGTCCATCGAAAATAAGGCGGTGTGGAAAACCGCTAGACCACCAAGGTCGTCAAACAATCAAGCGCAAAGAATAAGTGCACCGTATTCATTCACAATTTAAGAGCCACGCTGTTATCGGAGATCTTGCTTTTACCTTGGATATTATTGCAACAGAATTTACTAGTATGGGGTAGCATTCGTGGCTTTTATATAGTAACTAGCTGTGCCCACAATTCGTCCACGTGTTGATTTTACACCTTGACCAAATAAAGAAAAATATTCAGTAATCTAAAAAGGAAAGAAAAAAGATTCAATGTTTCAAAAATTATGATTTTCCATACATACTGCCTCATTATTTTACTCCATTAAAGGTTGATTTATGTTTAATTAATAGACTAAGACTTAAGTTTCAGCATTCTAGCTTTAAAAATGACAATACTTTCATACAAACTTTCATCTCCTCTTTCCACCCCTTACAACCGTTTATTTGCATTAAAAAGTAGCCTATGTCCTTTCACAGGGTTTAGACAGTGTACCAAATTTCATTTAACTCGGTTCAGTAGTTTTGGCGTTAAAGCGAGCAGTCAGAGTTACTTTAAAGACGACACTTCCAACCTATATATAGATTCCAGCTTATAGGGGATGTAAGTCTGTATGGAAATTCGTCATTCATCGTCTATTCCACACGGACGAAGTCGCAGGCAGAGCTAGTTTATTATATAACGAGGTTATCATTCCGTTCAACCAAGTTTAGGGAACCCAATGACCCGGCCTACGCTCCGACTAGTCTGCATATTTAACGAGCATAAACCACTCAAGTCACCCGATGACGTCACAACATTACAATTATGTAGGTCGCGTGTTATATGTATAGCAGGTACTCCCACATTTCACTAAAATAATATGGAACGTAAAGGAAAATTGTTACTTGTTAAAGTAAATTACATATGGATGTGTTTATAAGAGAAAAGGAAGGCCGAAAAAGAGATGGATGGACTGTGTGAAAGATGATATTGGCATGAAAGGGAGTGATTAACAAGGTGACTGCGAACAGGAATGAAAGCAAGAGAAAAACATTACGCTGACCCCAAATAAATGGGTTAAGAAGAAGCAGATGATGAGAGGAGATAATAATGTGGGCTAGTCATCCATATTACCACAGATAATATAATATTACATATACTATTAATATGGTATTAAAGGGGATTGTTAGTAAAGTGTAATATCTCCATTAATAGCAAAAAAAATATTAGTGATAAATTCGTGGTGAATAGGTCACGATGGGCTAACTGACCTGTACCATGCTCATCTTATTATCATCCCCTGCCCAGGTAGACAGACGTATCATAGTATCATCCACTGCCATATGATGCATAGTATGAGCCATCCGCTAGTTTCCCAGTTTCTTATACTATTACGATTTTATATACTACTAGATACATAGAATATAAGATGGAAGATGATGTTAGGAAAATGTTCTTGATGTATTCGACATTGCTGAGTATCGAGAGCCTGAAAACATTGTTTTATTATGTATAACATGAAAAATAATTTATGTTTATGTAATTCCGCTTATCTAGTCT